AGCGCCAGAGCCCAGTGGGTCGAGGTTGTGGTGGCCGGGAGCGGCCACTGCACTCCAGACTTGGTGATGAAGTGAAACTCCAACTCAAAAAAAAAAAAAAAGAGTAAGTTCCATTATGCTGCAGTGCTGAACATTGGTGGGTAGAAGAAGTGGTGGTAGAAGATGTGATAACTCTCTCAGAATAAACAGACACAGTCTTTCTATTCATTCAGACTAGCAGAGACAGAGAACATTAGCAGTGCAAGAATCTTAATGATTACCTTGTGCCTTCCACCATGGACAGGCCCAGAGAAGGTGGGGAACTTAATCAATATCAAGAACATTGTGGTTGAGGAAAGTGAGCATTATCTAACCCTGCTTGATGTTTACCAGCCCTTAGTCTAGTTATTGTCACCCTTTAGTCCAGTCACCTCATGGTGAGAACAACAGCACGTCTTCTCCAACAGTTTTCTTGACCCTTGGAGGAACCTCACTCTTTGATTCCTGAAGTTTTGCTGGTGACTGAAAAAGCATCAAGAAAGAGCCATCTTTTTCCTATACTTATTGGCACTGTTAGCAGGAAAGGCTCCAAATCATGAAATGTAAGTCGGGCAGTTAGTAGCATATTTTGTTGACATTTTAGATAAGTAGCTGGATAAAATACCCAGCACTCTTCCTCCTATCATTTACCATGTGATTGATCTTATTTCTTATATTCCAGTGGCACCTCTGTTTAGAGAAGGCAAAAATAAGTACCCAGTGCACTTTATAGCACCTTTAGCAAAACTTAAAATGTTATTTTCTTCTTAGTAGAGAGGATGGACTACAATGATGGCATCAGGTCTGCTGGAACTGGTAACAATGGGAAACCCACATCCCTCATCCCTGACCTACTAGTTTTATTTCCCTACTTTCTTCCTCTGATTTTTTAACAGTCTTAAGGCCTCTTATCCAATTCCTCCATGCCTTCTCATGTCCCTCTCTATCTCTGTACCCCATTTGGTCCTTTCTAATACTTTCATCCTTTCTTCTCAATCTCCTCTGCTTTCAGTTCCATCCCATTTCCTCCTATTCTCCATCTTTTATCTTCATTTTCTCACAAACTCCACACTTCCAATCCTGTTTCGCTACTCTCTTTCATCTCTTTTCTATTCATCTCTATCTTACACCATCCTTCCAGTCCCTCACCCCCATAAAATATTATAAAGAAGTCAAGTCACTGGCACTGACCAGAGGAAAGTTTTAAGGAAATAAATTGGGAAACATCCATGACACAGTAGAGTTGCAAAAAAGGGTTTTTAGTCCTAAAAGGGAACCTGGAGGAAAGAGACAGCTAAATAATGACTGGACTAAAGGCTGGTAAATAGTAATCAAGATAAGATCATGCTCTAGGTCAGTGCCATACTTCCTCACTAATACGGACAATTTAAGGGGAAGCATCACCATATGACTTGCATTTGCAGTTATAGATTGACTCAGTTAAGAGGTTTAGAAACTAAGTGTGAGAATCTAGAGGGGATTTCATGTTGAGTAGCATGGGATTTTTAAATATGTAAATAATGTTGATATTATAAATTTGTATATTTTCAAAAGACTTGAGATATATGAGGAAGAACAGATGAGGAAAATTCACATTTGTATCATATGTATGTAACATGTATACATATTAGAGGAAGTTTGACATTTAAAAACAGGTCTGTGAGCTGCACAGAGTTATGTTTTCCAGAATTAACAGAGAATATGTAACCATACAGCTTTTTTTCTGTCCCCTCTATATATTAAGGGATCTTTGTGTGATAGGAAAGAAAATGCTCCCTTTTTTTTGGCTTATAGAGGCCTGATGGGAGAAATAAAACAATCTTTTTTATAATCAATATTTTTTATTATGATATTGTGGGTACAGTTAAGGATTAGGTATACAAATATGCTTCATTCTTTCACACTTGTTGGTAGAAAGGTGTCTCCCCGTCCCCAGACAGATGTTTACTACCATTAATAGCATCTCCCTTCACCTCCCCCCCATAGTTTCCCACCACTATCAGTCATTTTCTTATGGTAATACATTGGATGATCAAGGTCCACTATGTGAGTAGGAACATGTGATACTCAGATCTTTGTTTCTGTGAGAGGTCACTCAGTATTATAGACTCTAGTTCCATCCAGGTTGCTGCGAAATTCATGATTTTGTTCTTTTTTACAGCTGTGTAGTATTCCATCGTGTATATGTACCACATTTTTAAATCCAGTCCTCTTTTGATGGGCAGCAGGTTGCCTCCAGGTTCTTGCTATTGTGAACAATGCTGCAATAAACATTCGTGTGCAGGTATCTTTTTGATAGAGTGATTTGAGTTCTTCAGGGTATATTCCCAGGAGGGGGATTGCAGGGTTATATGGGAGGTTGACATTTAGAGCTTTTAGGAATTGCCACACTGCTTTCCACAGAGGTTGCACTAGTTTACACTCCCACCAACAGTGTAGAAGTGTTCCCTTTTCACCACACCCTCTCCAACAACTGTTATTTTTTGAGTTATTGATAATTGCCGTTCTGACTGGAGTTAGCCCACTCTCACCCCTCCTGTTCAATATAGTATTGGAAGTCCTGGCTCAAGCAATCAGAGAAGAGAAGGCAATCAGGGGTATCCAAATAGGAAAAGAGGAAGTCAAGCTATCTCTCTTTGCAGATGACATGATTGTGTACCTTGAAAACCCAAGAGAATCTGTCAAAAACCTCCTTACACTGATAAAGGCCTTTGGCAAAGTCTCAGGATATAAAATAAATGTGCAAAAGACAATTGCATTTTGTTACACCAATAATAAACAAACATAAACCCAAATAAAAAGCACAATTCCATTCACAATAGCCACACAAAAAATGAAATACCTTGGCATTTCCTAACCAGAGATGTGAAAGACATTTACAATGAAAACTACAAAACTCTGCTCAAAGAAATAAATTAATCTTTATCTCTACACCTATGTTTTATAAACAGACCAACCATATCTTAACTTGAGAGAAAAATATGATTTCTGCAGGGGAAGCTTTCTGGGATACTTCTAGGAATCCAGACCACAGTCAGTCATAGAGTTGTTCCCTCTGGAACATGAACAAGTAAGTATTTACAGCTTCCTAGGTTTTGGCCTCTACCCTCCAAAAAAGGAAGTGAAGTTGTAATTTGTCAAAAAGGCTAGCCTGGGAGAAACTATACATCTGCTGTCTATAATTAAACAGGACTTCTTTGGGAAAAAATAACTATTATCCCATACAAAAAGTCATCTTTATGCTTAAGGAGGAAGAAAGAGTTCTGGACCATTTTTTCCTGATCCTTAGCTCTAGAAGATTTTTCCTTTTGTACAAAAAGACACAGGAAAGAAGGAACACTTGAGACCTCCTCAAGCCAGTGACCACCTCCCCATCAGCATCTTCCAAAGGGCACCTTGCACATCAGGATTTCTAAGACTGTATATGATTGGGTTCAACATGGGGTTGATGACAGTATTAAAGACTCCAACAACTTTATCCTTATCCGAAAGCTTAGCTGAACCTAGTCGCATGTAGTTAAAAATACCCGAACCATAGAATATGGCAACCACAGTGAGGTGGGAGCCACATGTAGAAAAGGCTTTCTTCTTTCCCTGAGAAGAGTGAATTCGCAGAACTGCAGATGCCACATAGGCATAGGAGGTGGCAATAAGAGCCACGGGGGTACCTGCCATTATAAAACCCACAGCGAAGAGCAATAACTCATTGAGCTGGGTGCTGGAGCATGAGAGCTGGAAGAGCTGTGGGAGGTCACAGTAGAAGTGATTGATCACATTGGGGCCACAGAAGTTGAGTGTAGATATGGCCACAGTGTGGGTCAGTGCATTGGTGAAGGCACAAGCCCAGGATACAGCCACCAATATCATCTGGACCGTCTGGTTCATACGGGTACTGTAGGTGAGGGGTTGACAGATGGCTAGAAATCGGTCATAGGCCATGGCTGTCAATAGGAAGCAGTTCACCCCTACAAGCAGATGGAAGAAGAAGAGTTGGGTAAGGTAGGCTCCATAGGGAAGTGAATGCCTATCAGACAAGAGACGACCCAACATTGAGGGAATAGTGACATTGATACACCCAACATCCAGCACTGATAGGTTTCCCAGGAAGAAGTACATTGGGGTATGGAGTTTAGGCTCTACCAAGATGGCTGCTAGGATGCTGAGGTTGCCCCCAACTGTGACCAAGTAGGCAAAGAGGAAGAGTACAAAGATAACTGGCCACAGCTCTGGTGTCTCCACCAAGCCCAGCAGGATGAACTCAGTAATGGCTGTTTCATTGGCCCCAGATTTTGGCTGCATGAGTTCCTGCAAAGAGACATCCAAGAAGGAAAATAATCAGTCCTCTCAATTAGTTTATTTCTGATTGAAGAAAGAAACAGATCTCCTTCTGCATATACCCAGTCCTCTGCTATATTCCCTCTGTAAGTGAGGACTTTTCCACTCCTTAGACCACACTACACTTGTTAACTCTCTTACCATATTTACTTCAATATCTTTTCTTCATTCACAGGTATAAGGACATGTGACATTATTGCTCCAGGCGTACCTCTCTTCCCTAGCTGAAATAACCTATTTGTAGAGATTATGAATGACAAAACTCTTGGGGAAAATAAGCAACAAGTATACTTCTGTTTTGAACGTGGCAGAGTAAATCTGGAACTTTTTCTTCTCAGAATTCATCTCTTTTCGAAACAAGCAGAAAAATAAATAGATTCTATCTGCAAGGAAACTAGTAACCATTTCATAAACTGGTTGGATGGCATTAAGAACAGTAGAGATCATCTAGGAGAATGGTAAGAAGCAGAGAGAGGAAATACATGGCTATGAAAGAGCTAGATGAGTATAATTCTCCTTAAAGATAAAAAAAAGGGACAACTAAAAAACAAAACAAAAAACAAAAAAAACCAAAGTCCTTGTTTGCAATAATGGGAGTAAGGTGTAAAGCATGACATGATGGTTTTCTGCAATCCTGAGTTGGATTTGTTTAAATGACGAACCAAATACACAGGCAAGCTGTATTTGCACACTATAGGTAAGGTATGAGATTGGAGGGGAAAGAGGTTTTAAAATGCACCATAATGGTTCTACAGTTGCCTATCTACACTGATTACAGACAAGTAAAGACTAAAATAATTTACCTCCAATGTGAATCACAAGGTAAGTTCCTGATAGTCTGAAACATAATTTTAGCCTCTTCTGATACAAGTATCATACAAACATCTAGTTTAACAAAAATTCTCTTTAAGGATTTAAAAACAAACCAGCACAAGATATATACAAGAATTTCACAAGAAAAAAAAGAGAAAACAAAAATTAAAAAAATTCAAATGGATGATAAAATTCACTTCACAGAAGAACATTGCCACGGAACACATGAAAATTGTGACCAAGCATTTCAGTCTATCTAAAAAGCCAAAAAGCTTAAAGAGGCATTTTCCTGTATAAAATAACAAAATGGAATAAAAATACAAGAGCTGAGGGAAAAGACTGAAATATAGACATGAAATGTGAGTTGAAAGAAGACAGGAAGAAACATTAAAGAAAGTGTAAAGTTACTACACAAAGAAAAATAAAATTAGAAACAGTGCAATGGAAAAAAGCAGATAGATACAGGAACAGTATTTTAAAAGATGATAAAATTAAATTAGAAAATAGGGAAAATGATAGCTACAAGAACAGACAAAGGCGAACCAACATATGTACAATTAAAGTTACCAAATAATAAAATCAAAATAATGCAAAAGAACAATTATTTAAAGGTAAGTTTTAATTTAAAATATTACAGAAACAAGAGAGTACTTAAATCTACAAATGGAAAATGCACACCTTGTTCCAGGAAGAATTCATACAGAATACTGGCACTCTTACATACCACTATAAAATTGCTGAATGTCAATGATTCAAAAAGAATACATAGCTAAAAAAAAAAAGAAAAAAGAAAAAAAGATTATGCTAATTCCAAAGGAAAGAAATTAAGATAGCCACTAATTTATCCAAAGTAGTATTCAGAACTGGAAGGGGATGGAAAAATGTTTGCAGCCAAGAAAATGAAATGTGATCCAAAATTTTATGACTATCTAGACTATCATTCATGCATAAAGTTAATTTTGCAATGTGAGAATTCAATGAATTAACATTAACCATTGTTGAAAAGAGCAGATTTAAGTTTTTTTAACAGATGATTTTTGTAAGTAGACTTCAGCCAACAAAGAAAAAAATGGAAAATCTACAGTATATAAATGGATAGTTTTATATTTATTTAACTACAAGACTAAAATATTTGTAGAAATTATAGGCATGGAATAACAAGCAAATGTTTTTAAAATCTGAAAAGGTAAAATGTTCATAATTAACAAAAAAGGAGGAGAGGAAACGGGAGGAAGTGTAAACGTGCTGATTTCCTCATCTTCTGTAGCTGAGTGTTAAAAATATCATTTAAACCTGATAAATTGCATGACAGAGGTGGAACTACACAAATCAGTACAAGGGAAAGATTAATGTAATATAGTCAAATCATGGTTAAAAACAAAAGAGAACAAGGGAAAGAAAGGGAAATATACCCATTTTATCAATGCTTATGCAAGAAAATTAGTAGACATTGTCCAAAAGCAGAGTTTTAGAACTATATGCAACGTTATAAAAGTAACCCTAGAACAAAATTTTCAAATTATGAGAAAAAACACACCTACAAAAAAAGTAAAACAAACCTAGACCTTGTAGTGAAGTAATTTTTACACAGAAAGCATGGCATGAAATAATAGAACAGAATCAAACGTACTTTATAACAATAAAGCTCAATGGGCTAAACTAATCTGGTACAAGAATAAAACTTTCAAATTGAATAAGTTCAACTCTAGGCTGATGCCAAAATATTTAAGTTTTTTTCTAATTAAACAGTTAATTAGAAAGGTTGGAAAGTAAGAAATATCAGTCAAATATAAACAAAAATAAAGCAAGGGTTATAATCTTAAAATAAGACGAATCTGAATTTTAAAAAGTCAGTAAATGAGGAAGAAGAAGAGCACTTTGTAATTAAAAAGGGTACAAGAAGATATAATATGTATGGAAATGAATGCCTCAACTATATAGCACTGATACAGGTTTAAAAAGTGGGGGCGGGGGGAGATGTTTAAGGAGAAGTAACCAGAAACAGGATATCAGTTAGTGAATTTTCCATATAGTGTTAAGTTGACAGAATATAAAGTAAGGCAAGGAAAAAACCTTCCCCTCCCCTCCCCTC